TTGTCCGGTCCTGAGTACTTACCAAATTCTATCCATCCAAAGACCAATCAATGTATTCGGTCTGACCCTTCAAGAGGTCAGTTGCAGCCTGAACAGCTCAGTGACAGAGTTGTTGACTGTGACAGTGAATGATGTGAATGCGAATCTCAGAGGGCACATCGTTTCCCCAGAGGTCAAAGATACGTCTTGATGGTGAGTGCCGGCAAGCGTGAAAGTAAGAGAAAGCTGGGGTTCCAACCAATGACCCCCAACTAACTAACCTTCATTAGAGGTGAAAATTTGTTTGAATAGAACATACTATATTCTCTTCTTTTAGAAAGATTACTGTTCATCAAAGGCATAGACCATCAATGTGTCAAAACTGAGAAAATAGGCTTTTCGTTGTCTTATTTATTCAGTATCTTTCTCTGGTTGTTATCTCTAATTCCATGCTGACATTCCTACTTTTGAATTCTTATATATCTATCTACAACATCAATTTCATAGTAAGTGACAGAGCAAAAGAGAGTTTGAATGATGCCGAACATGGTAGAAATATTTCTGTTCTGATATTCCGAGTGTATTAGTAGTAATCAGACTTACCTGGTATGCTATGCTCCTGTTTTTCTTTCATTCTCAATATTGTCGCGTGCTCAGATGCAGCTGTGTAGATATAATCTTAGTAATCTACTCAATACAATTACGATGTGATAATTTCTCCCAGGATGTAGATGACTGACTGTAGCGTTCACTATGTTCCAAACATACAAATATGTACCAGTATGAGATTCGTACCTTTTATTAACTTTTATTTTGACAAATTGCTGTATTCCAAACAAATTGCATTCTTTTCATCCCAAAATTTTACTCAATAGTTGACTGTATACTTTTTCGGAATTTTAAGAAAGAACTGTATTGCAGTTTTTATCAGAACATATTCTCCCATTTATCACTTCCTGAATAGTTGAATTTTTCCGCTGTATTTTGCGTAAACTCGGTATCACTCAGCTTCAAATGCCTACAGGATTTCATTAGTTTTGACTGGCGTTTATGTTCATAATATATTCGTCTCGTAATAGATTTACTAAATCTCTAATTCTTTGCAGTAAAAGGATTTCGTCGATGCGCTTTACTGAAATCTTACATATAACCGACTATAAAGGTGGTGAGGGTTGTTTAATTTATTGCTTTGAAAAGTAAATAATATTGAAATAATTGTGATGTACAGATAATTAACGATATGCCAAAGATGTCTGAGAAACCGTCAGTCGATAACTTCATCCATACACTATTAGCCTGGCACACAACCTATGCAGGCAAAAGGCCTCATTACCCAGAATAGGTTAAGTAATCAAATCACTTATAAACGTCAGCCCATAATAAAACGAAGAACATGGCAAACCCATCCACAAGCCATCAAAAGACAACATTAGGAAATAGTCTTCATCAACTCATCTACAACTAAAGATCCTTCACTTCTTTATGAAGTCAGTAGCGATGAAGTGAACTAGCCTAGTGAAGAAATGTCCAAGGAAAAACTTGAAAGCCTGAAGAATACGAAGCTAGGCTACGAACCTTAGAGAATGCCTCAAAGTCTTCTGGGTCATCTTCTGAGATGTGCTGTAATACCTGAAATGTGATTCAAATCCTTCGATCCATACTGTCCAACATGACTGATTTAAATCGTCACAGCTACAAATGCGTAGAACGTATTTTCGGAATAATCAATTTCATTTTGGTTGGTTTTTTAGATAGATTACATAGTGAAAAATTATTATTCATTGAATCATATTCAACATATAATTTATTGTCTATATTCACATCATCAAGATAACTACTCAACTTTGAAACATGGTTAATTAATACACTTCTAATTCTCTCCATTCCATCTCGATATAGGCAGTAGGATTTTCTATATATTTACGTGGAATCGATGCTGAGCAACTCCCATTACACTTACTGAGTGTCAATTTGATAAACGAAGATTCGGTTACCAGTCTCTTCCTTCGTTTCACTAAGTTGGTCTTAAGGATTCTGACTTTGTGTCATTTTATTTTGTGTTTGTGTATGATTGTATGCATCTCAGTGAATGGTTTTTAATCTCAGTTCTTCTTATTTCTAGGAAGTAACATTCTTGAGTTAGCTTCGTGTATGTGCTTAGAGAGCCTAGGTCGACTGCTTCAACCCACGTGTTAGACTTCGCAATCGTTGCAAAGGATCAGGCAAACTAAATTATTTTACCTTAGTAGACCAAAGGGGTCTTTTAACCGTTAAACTTGTTTGTAAGTGACTTAAAACGTTTAAGTGCTACTTAGATCCCAAACTTATTTAGAATTCTTTGTGACGTCTCCGAGGTTCCTTGTTTGCCTGCTAACACAGTAGAGGACTTGAATTCTGTCTACAAAGTATCGTCATTAGTATTATTGTTATTAACGTCTGTCTTACCATCATTTGCCATTTTTCTTACGACCACTAAGAAACTTACTAATTATAATGAAAGGGCAATTACTGACGAGTAGTATGCTTTAAATGAATCCGATTTCTTCTTTCAGATCGTCTGTCGTACTAGTAAGTTTCTTGGCCCTGTTACTGTGGTATTTTACCAAGCCAATTTTAAGTGACATAGGGTGTGATAATTTGAAATATAAGTAACGATTCTAGAGCATAGGTTTTCTGTCGACAGTATTGTTTAAGCTCTCTTCTTGTTTTCTTTTTATTCTGCAATCCAACATCCTTAAATCCTCTTCATTTTCTAATTCATAGTTAAATTGGATTATGTCAGCTGCTGAATTTATATGTCTAGAGAAACTGTCTATGTGATCCGGTTTCAACACTACGAACGTGTCATCTACGTAAACACACATATGTATATACATATTTTTGGAGGAGGACTAAGTGTTTCGACTGCCATCCGTCTCCAACTATGGACAAATATGTCTACCACGATAGAAAGGACTGATGATTTCATGGCACTCCCTTTTGTTTGTTTGTGTATTTTATCCTGAAACTTAAGCATGGCTGTGTTATAAACACGATCTCATCTACTGGTACCTTAGTTCATAGTGCAAAACTCATGGTCATTACTAAGCTCACTGCTAACTGCTTTCAGACTAATGTCAACAGGTCAATTAATGTAGAAACTTCCTACGTCAAAACCAACCTATTTTCACTGTCTTCGAAATGTATACCATTTAATCTATGCTTTAAGTAAAAAAAAAGTTGTTAAGCAGAGATTTTGAATAGTTTCTAATTGGGCTTGGTACTCTTGTTAAATATTAGGACAACTCATTAATTCAGGTGCTTCTAACATCTTTAGGCCTAGTGGGATAACTTGACTTACGGATCTCAATAGTATCATAAGTTCCACTGGGATTATTAGTTTCCAGTTTTAAATTAAACCAGTGAAACTCACTTTGAAACAATTTCATTTGGCGTGTTAGATCCACTGCTGTTACTTCAACCCTATTCACAGTAGTATCCCTTGGTTTCTTAATCTCCTATTACTGCCCGTCTCTATATTTTTCTCGACTTTCTGAACATAACAAGATTTGCTTAGTACCATTAATTAGTTGTTTTTTTCTGATTTAGGAATAACTATATTGTTATCGTTTCAAAGGTTCTTCAAAGATTCTATTTCTGTGTTCGGTAAATTCTGTTTTTTTTCTCTTTCACTAGAATGTTATTGAATATATTAGTCATACTACATTTGAAACTATATTAACTACCCAGTTTAATGCTGTTTCAATTTTGGAAATGACAACGTTCAATTTCAAGTTCACCAACTAACACACTTAAGTCAGTTTCACAACACCTTAACTTCTATTAGACTTAAAGCTTTCATTGGAAGACTGATAAGCCATTTTGTTTCATCTACAACTGGTGGTGCTGTTGGTAATTTCATTACGTGCGACTATATATTTTTTATTTCATTAGTTTATTAGACTTTTTTATTTCAGTATTCTTGGATTTTCTAAAGACAGCTGATCTCAAGTTCTCAACCAGGATTTCATAATCTTTTTCACCTACTATTTGCATCAGTTTACACTTTAGTTCTTCAATATAACTATGGGTTCTGTACAACTTTTTGGCAACTCTATGAATTTTATTTTTTGAAAAGAGTTTCTAGACATTTTCTATTTTTCCCTTCATTTTGTCTGTACAAGCTGAAGTGCTCAAATGTAGATACTTTGGAATAATTTAATTTTTAAGACTTCAACTATTGAATATACGTTAAGTTGTGAATTTGGTTTCCGTCTGTAACAGTCGTGTATTAATTAGAAATCTAGAGTAAAGATCATTCATTGAGATGTATACAATCATACACAAACACAAAATAAAATGACACAAAGTCACAATCCTTAAGACCAATTTAGTGAAACGAAGGAAGAGACTGGTAACCGAATCTTCGTTTATCAAATTGACACTCAGTAAGTGTAATGGGAGTTGCTCAGCATCGATTCCACGTAAATATATAGAAAATCCTACTGCCTATATCGAGATGGAATGGAGAGAATTAGAAGTGTATTAATTAACCATGTTTCAAAGTTGAGTAGTTATCTTGATGATGTGAATATAGACAATAAATTATATGTTGAATATGATTCAATGAATAATAATTTTTCACTATGTAATCTATCTAAAAAATCAGCTAAAATGAAATTTCATTCTACCACAGTGCTCAAGTTTAACTGTTATATTAAGAGTGTTTAGTTGTCTATTGATGATAATATTACGTAATTATTTATTTCTGAATTGATCTTGTGATCATTTTCTGCTATTGTTTTCGTCTTCATATGCTTATGTATATATAAAAAAAGATTTTTAAAAAATAATGGTCTACTTGTCAAATATCTTCTTTCATCCTAATTTATTGTTTGATAATTCTCAAATGTCCCCTGGACATGTGTGTATACTCACACAGCTGACCGTATAATTCGTCGTTTTCATTGGTGCTTTAAAATTTCTTAATTTATCTTAGCAAGTATAAAAGGTTAAAGTGAATGTAATTTATAATAGGTAGACAGTCATTTACCAGAGGTCTGTATACTAGCGAGAAACTACTTATACACAGTATACTTATTATCTTTGAGATAACAACAACAACAAGATGAAACTCACTTTGGTCAATGTGATTTACATTTTTACCTTAGTCGTCATGATCGCGATCCAATTACAAGCTCTTCAGACTAGTAAGTGTTTTATTAGTGTTTTAAAATTGCTTCTTTTTTTGCCTTACATTACCGTATTCATTTCAACAAGTTTTGGTGATACACACACAGAAGATAAGAAGCACATTGCGTTTCACAGACTTTAAGCATAGACGTGTAAATCTTCGTTGATGGATTCAAAGATAACTGACTTGTTCATTTATGGTAGCTAACTTCGACAAATCTTATGGGATTTTAGTAAAATACCGGTTAGATTGTTTATCATCCCTGAATGGTAGATAATATAGCTGTCGGATCCTCAGCATTCATCAAAGTATATCATTTCAGTTCATAGTGTGATCTTTTTTTGACTGACATGAATCTATATCGCCTTGTAATTTGGTATTCGATGTCAAGAGTCAATGAGTATGAAACTGGACTTGAAACAGGTGACCTGATCTACCTAAATCTAGAATCTCTCCTTTCAAAGATGAGTAGCGTAGAGTAGGTCAGAAAGGGAATATAACTTTCCTCGAGAAAGCATCCATATCTTGTGGACTCGGAGGAACATGTATGGAAACTAATTCGGAAACTGAATTGCCTATTGACAATCTTCATATAACAAACAACAAAAGATGGTGCAGATTATGATTCTATATGAGGGTCATCCGACAGGTATCCCCCGCTTACTGTACTGCATGAAACTAACATGGAAAAAAGAAACGGAAATAAGCGAATGAGAAACAAACTGGCTAAAATAAATATTTTTATGAGTGCCATATGGGGAAAAGATTAGAGCTAGGAATAGAATTAAGAATAGCACTTGAAGTCAGAAAACAAAAAAACTAAGTCATAGAACAAAGGAGATTCGGTACCTAAAGATACTTCATATCCTCTCTGCTCTGAAAGAAGCCTTACTTTCCGAAGAAATATTATCTCTCATATCTCATATAAGGGCACTGTTTACTTCATATATCTTGTAAATTGTTCACACATTGAAAACCTTGGAGTTGAATAAATATCTTATGGTTAGTTACAATGAAATTATTCAAGAGTCTTAATCCTTTTAACAGCGTATTGAGTAGCAGAATACATTTGATCAACTCTAAGCTTGCTCAATTATTCTTCACTAGACAGAAAATGGATAGCTGATTTCTTTTCAGTGCTATGAATCTTACTCCTAGGAGTACACGTGTTCTGATTGAATTAGGGAGCAAAGTGACTGCAAGTAGCATGCAGTCGAGCCTAGAATGCGTAATTTGTTTTATTCTGGATATTTCCTCCACCTTAGTGGGTGATAGTCTTCAGATTGAAACTGGAATCCTACACCCATCGCTTCAAACATCAGGGGTCTATTCACCGTCGCTCGCCAGGTCACAGAATCATCTGAAGTAGGACGAAATATGCATTTTGGCATTTTGGATTCTACTTCTGGTCATCGCTAATCAAATTAGATCACAATCCATCTTCAGGCAATAACTAGGCATCCGCATAGAGTAACGTACTAAAAAGATGGACCGATTCGGTTTAACATAAAAATCAAGTGGAAATTACAAGTATCAATAAATAACGAGTATATGAAATGACTTTATCGTTAAAAGAATGATCATCTAGTAGCTTCAAAATGCTCATCCTGGAAGTCATATCATCAGAACTTCTTGATCCCAGTAAGCGACAGTGAACACCCCAAAAATTCTTAACAACTACGATAAGAGTTTGTTTTTTTGTGTATAAATCAGCAAGAATTTCTGACAGAAGAATCAGCCTTCAGCTGCAGTGTCATCCAATTTGGAAGTGAAATGGTAGTCTACAAATGGTAATGAACACTGGCTAAGTGATGTCAGTGGTTAGCTAAGAGAATGTTGAACACCACTTTTCATACTATGAACCAGAGCATTTCACACGCCATTTCATGAGTGTTTGGCAGGGAAGTAACGTGTTCAAACTTGACATTATATAGAAGCATCTGTAGTAAAACAGTGGGCTTAATTGGACTCTTTTTTCTGGTCGAATTCCTTGAGTTTTCGCAAGCATCTTACCTTATCGACAAGTATATATACATCCACTGCTTTAAGAAACCATTCTCCAGATTTTTCGCAGTGTCAACTTTCTTCAGGTAGTCAGACGTGATAAGATATCGAAAGCAGCACTATTTTCTTAGAAAAACAATCGACTGCTATTGCTACATCGTTTCCACAAAGCTTTAGATGACCTCAAGTAAATGTACAGTAAAGATGTTACTATGAAATAAAACACTACGCTACCAATATAGTACTACATATTCAGGATTGAGGTGCGCAGATCACAGTCCATACTATGATCAATAGACTAGGCTGATTCAGATTTCAGCAGAATGTTCCCAGTACTACACAAGTGTGAAGAGACTCAGGAGGAAATTAGGCATGCATATGATTTGTAATGAATAACCTACTGATGCAACCACGAAACTTGTCATGCTCTATTGAAAAGAAAAGCATGTATCCTAAACCAAAGTAATCAGAGAATATATTGCTGAAAACTGCATGTTACTAACATGCTAAATTAGTTTGTAGTGTTAATAACAACTGAAAACCTATAAAATCCGGTGTATTCAATAAGTTTGCATGTCTCTTGAATACTCTTATGCACTTGAAACCTAATTTTGAGGAAATGATCCACTTTTAAATCTGTTCGATAACTCATTTTCAAGTGAAAAATAGTAGTGTCGATATATTTCGTTCAGCGAAACATAATAACACTATATCAGCACTTTGGAAATAGCTAAAAATCTGATTTTGCTTTGAAGCATTAAGTGAATTGGTGAAGCTTAAAAGATCAGTGTGGTAGTCTGCTTACTGCCTATTGTCCCCTGTTCAGTGTAGCGTTTTAAACTTTTAATTCAACCAAGATTTTGTATATATCATGTATTTCAGCTGCCGCTAGTTAAGAATTTACTTATGAAAGGCAATTTCTGACCTAGTCTTAACAAACAGCATTTCTACCTGAATCCATTTCATTCAAATGCAATGATAACCAGAATTTTTTTCATAACACAGATAGATCCCTATTCTGTATAAGAAAGTTAAAAGTAGACTAGTCAATCAGTTATTCACTTAAGGCTGTCAAACGCGCCGTAGGTTAGCAGGAAATTTTCAATATTTGTTGGTATTGAATCGAACTTTAAAGTTCATGTTTGTTTCTGGTTAGGGATGGGAACGAATGAGGGAAACATGTGTTCAGCTTCACAAATCCCCTTAGTATGTGGAAGAATAGCAGTGAATTTGAAGATTTTCAGCTCTGAATCAAATGAAATTAGGTACCTAGAAACCTACTTCATGGATTATGATGGTGAACTCTGACCTCAATAGTCTGTCAGAAATCACATCCATTAATGTTGGGTGTCATTTTATGATGGTGTGTTAGAAGCTGACTATGAATGCAAATACTGGATACTGAAATTAAATTGAAGGCTGGTCAGTTCATCGCCTTTATCGAGATATCTTAATATTCCCAGATTATATGTTAACAGCACTTAAGGTTGTATTCTATCAGAGTTACAGTCAATGAGAAAACAATTTTGTTGTACTATTTGATGAATATTAATTTAGTGTCCACCCTGAACTGATCTTGTAATATGATACAGTTACCTGAAGTGTGACACTTTCAATAAACAGCTGAACAACCTAGGTATATTAATAAACCAGAGCTTTCACACGACCAACTTTCAGCGGAAAACTTAGTTTATCACTTCATCATTAGTTAAAATATGGAAACGGTATAAGTTCCGGAACTTTTATAACCACCAATTACTCTTAAAAATGTAGAATCTGCAAACGATGGATTAGTTGCTAACTGTCTTCAAAAGTTTCCACAAGGGAGTAGCTTTTCAACTACACAACTGAGGGGCTAACACAGTGTGGCCTAACAAAAGTATAGTATATCACAAGGTGATATACTGCTGGGCAACGTAATACGTTAGAAACTACCGATAGGAGTTGGTACATTTCCCCTAGCATATTATACTGATCTCAGCATTTATAACACAGAACTGATGAGTTATATACTCCAACAAATTCTGTTATTAAATCTAAATTATAACTCTTGAATGTGGCCATGTTCTTTACACTAGTGTACCATAAAATCGATGAATGATAAGCCAAGAATTTACTTATCTAATCCAGTACATTAAATAGTAAGCATTAAGAAAAAAAAGGTTACTGACTTCCTTTGTGTTTATTTATGATATACTCGTTATTGGGTCAAATTTACTGCATCCGCAGAAAATGTCCATTACCTTTTATTAGGATCTTGAAGAATATATGGAAATAGTTGTTCTTGATAAGAGCTCACAAAAGAAATAGCCATTTTTAAGATTTTGGTAAATACCTGCAGCTAAAGATGAGAATATTCAGGTTAAGGTGTTTTCTACGACTACACTGGCAAGACCGAAACTCTAGCTAGGAATGCAGATAAATGTAAGAAGCTCTATTTGGTGGTCTGTGAGGATTTATTTATTGATTACAAGTTGGTATTCATGATTGGCTGACAGCATTTAGAGAACCTGGGAACTCTGAACAGCTCTTTCATTCTAGCACCTGAGTAACATCAGATACCGATGGCTGAGTTCATGATAGTATGATATTCACTGACAACTCTAATAGAAGCCATGACAGCATGAATTTATCTGACGTCGAATCTTTCCGTTGGCCAGAAGTAATTCCATATCTTGGCGTGAAATGAAAGCCTGTATAGTAACTGGTTACAGTGACTTGAAATTGATTACTTTTTAAAATCCGTTGCAATGTTGAATGTTAGAAGAAAGGGAACAGGAGTTGTGAATCCAATGCTCCTGCCTACAAACACTTACCAGAGATGTGTATCTGCAGTCCTGAGAATAACCGTGTGTCACTGTAACTTAAATCATGATATTTCCGCTAAGGGTTTCAATTCACCAATAACCAGAAAATAATGTGACTTACTTACTTTAGGCCTCAATCAAAAATGACTTCATGACTCTCCGTTATTGTGAAATCTGCATGGAATTATTACTTATGTGGCTACTA